TTTACTTTATTCACCCCAATAGGTTGTTCTGATGATGTGGAATCATCTAAATAAACTTAGCATAATAGCATATCTTCATTGGTAGAGTATCTTACAGATCGAGTGAAATATTTTTGCAAGTGATTTGAGAAAAAGTGGATTATATGGTTAAAGAAAAACAAAAGCCAACTTAATATGGATGGGTATGTTGACACTTTAATATATATATATNGAATTTTATCCTAATCTCAACCGTCGGCTGGATTTCATCCTTATTTTAAATATATCTTTAGGTAGAATATCTCTGCACATTATTCAATGTGTAGAGATAAAATAGACACAATAATTGACCGAATAATATTAGGAAAGATCTCATCCGTCGGATGTATTTCATCCCAATCTCAACCCTCAGATGGATTTCATCATTATCTCAAATTTATTTTTAGGTAAAATATCTCTACTGTAAAGATAAAATAGACACAATTATTGACCAGATAATAATAGGATAGATTTTATCTTGATCTCAACCATCAGATGGATTTCAACCTAATCTCAACTGTCATATGGATTTCATCATAATCTCAAATTTATCTTTAGGTAAATAACTATGCACATTCTTCAATCTATAAAAATGAACATCATTTAGGAAAATAACTAAGGATTTCCAATTCATTTCAAAATCAAATCAAATATTCTTATTTGTCCTCTGAAAATGAATTTATAAATAAGGACAAAGATGTTCATTTTGCATTTCATAATGCATTAATAGAGCATTTATGGGAGCAACATACTAATCCTGGAAGTTGAATATTTATGTAGAAATTAAACCAAAATTTTATCAGAATGTAATATTTATTTAATTATATCGTATCAATGATTTCACTTTTATTTGAATTATCCATTAATATATATAATGTATAATATTTTCTTATTGTTTATATTATTTAAAAAATTATGGTATAAAATAATTTTATATTAAAGGGATTTGTTTTATGAAATAAGAAACTAAATTTAAATAAAAAAAATATAATATAGAAGAGAGAAGAATATAAAAGGGATATCCTTTTTGGTGTAAAAAATAGTGTAATGGATTGGAATTAATTTGCACCATTTTGGTGTAAAAAATGGTGCAAGGGTTGGAGATGCCCTAACTAATGTAGCATGAAAAACCCTAAATGAAGAAGAAAAGAGAAGCCCAAACTGAAAAGGTGGATAGCGAAAAACTAACAATTTGTGGCTGCTGGGATTCGAGCCCAGGTCTCCACGGCCACAACGTGGAATTCTCACCACTAAACTACAGCCACTTAATGCTAATATTCTCCAACATATTTTATATATCAAACGCATTATCGTTGCATATACATAACTTACAATATACCTATTATGCAGGTAGAGATCATAATAAATCAACTCATTTACATATAGGTTACACCACCAGATGATATTTCACAATTCACAAGCCAAGGAATTTGCCAATGACTCATGGAACACTTCTTCTTTCGGGACCAGTGGCTAAAATGGTTTGGAAGCATTTTTCAATTGGTGCTGTGAGGTTTTGCATGGCCAAAACAATTATCAACTAATATGAAATTTGTGGAATATGAAGGTTAACTCGGAGGCAGTATTACTTTGAGTCATCTATAAGATTGTCTCCTCAGTAATTATGCTGGTAGCTTTGGATTATCAGACATAAAAGAAAACATGCAATTGCTAATGTTAATCCGGCGACAACAAAAGAAGAAAATTGCCAAGTTTATGCTACCTACGGTGGAGTGGGCTAAACTGGTAAAAGCATGTTGAATCGGGGGAAGCACATATTTATTTGATTTTAGGACATCATTAACTTATACTCGCATTGCAAAAAAAAATTGTAACTTTATCTACTTTAGAACACACTTCAAACGTCGCGTTTGACGACGTTTGAACTTTCAAAAATATCTGAACTAAGACATTTCTGGTAGTTTTCGCATAAGTTGTCCTTGTGATAGTGCAAACTTCAAATGTGAAGTTACAAATTTCAAGTATTGTTCCCTTTTGAAGTTCTCTCCCCTGTAGTACAAACTTCAAACAACCACGTCTGAAGTTATTTAGTGTAAACTTCAAAGCGCAAAAATTACACATAAGATCCACTTAAAACTTACTAGTCTGAAGTGAATCCCAATTGTTGCATGCACTTAAGAGTAGATTGCCTAGAAATAAAAACTTATTCTTCAAATTTCAACAATTCAGCACACGATTCAACGCCCAAATCTACTCCAAGTAAGCTCAAATTTGAAACACAACTTGCAAATATCTAAAGAACAAACCTCAATCATCAATTTGTCAAAATAACAACAAATCTAGCAAACTCATTTTACAACTAATAAGAAGAAGGAAAAGAAACTCTAAGCATTAGCAAAAAAAGAAACGCCATAGCAGCTCACTACCATTAAAGCACATAAAACCTTGTTCACAAACACATGTATATTCACTGTCACCTCTATTTTCATAGCAACTAACAGGAGGACGATGAGGAAAAGCAAAGAAGAAGCAGTTTGTCTGAAATTATCTTATTTTAGGTATCGGTTAAACTTCTTTTTTAAAGTGAGCACAAAATGGGATCTACCAAAATAGGTTACCTCTTGAAATTTTTAGTGTTGAATCTCATCAACTAGTGTATGGTTACCTCTAACTCTATGGATTTATATACAAATAGCTGGTCATATTCACTGTTTATTTTTTTTTACTGAGTATACAGGATTATACATAAATTATATATAAATCATACTTATACTATATATATGTCGGTTATTTTTAATTTAAGATGTTGGATGAGCGATTGTTTAGGTTAATTCTTCTTAGACGACCAGGAGGGGGGTTATGTGGATGAAACTATCAACACTTAGGCAAATTTTGTATGGGTGAAAATCATTTGCACCCCCAAATTATGTAGTGGCTAACTTCTATTTTCAAAATAAAAAAATAAAAAATAATAACCAAGCATATAATTCATTGATGTTGAATAATAAAAAGGATGAGCAAAATAAAATAAAAATAAAATAATTTTGTTTTATCAATAATTGTATTCATAGTAATCTAATTTCAAAAAGCTGTTTACACAATCGAGAATAAAAAATTGTCAGAACCTTAAACATATCCTCAATGCAAGTAATATAAAAATTTGTAATTATTAAAAGTAAAGGCAAATTTTATAACAAATTCCTAAAGGATTATCTATTTATCACTGAGATATTTTAAATTAAATATATACTAAATGGACATTAAATTATGAAGAAATACCAAATAATCCTTTGGGAGCTGGTATTTCCTTTCAGTTATGGTATGGGGAAGGCCGATCAAATGTGACAAATAATATAAAGGATGTTCCATTTATGATTTGAATAATTTATAATAAGGTATAAATTCATTTAAATTATAGGAAAAATCATAAAAAATAGCATGTAAAATAAAATAAAAAAAGAGTATTACACATAGAGGAGGAAATCGAAAAATGAGAAGGGCAAATTAGACATTGTGTAAAATAAAGGTGGTGAATGATAATTGTTCAAAGTTAAGGGGGGGCTGATTTTTAAACTAAAGTTAAAGGGTGCAGATGATTTTCACCCAATTTTGTATCGGTAAAATAGAGATGTTGAGTACACTTCTGCTAAGAAGGGAGCAATACTTAGATGTTAATGACACATTTTAAAGTCAAAATGGTGTGGGCTTGCCAACTTTCAGATTGCTAATTGAAAAATAGTCATTATTTATAAAGTAATTGAAAAATATCAACTATTTAATACGGAGAAAAAAATTGAACAAAAATACCCTTAGCTGAAATACGAAAAAAAGTCTAACATAATATACTGGATTATGAAACTCCTGCATATAAAGCTCCAGCATATTATGCTGAAAGTTCATATGTAAAAAATTCAAACTCCAATATATTATTCTGATTTTTTTTTTTTTGAATTTTAATTAAGGGTATTTTTGTTCAGATTAAATTTTCGCATGAAAAGTGGCTAAGTTTCAATTAATTTTGAAACTATGACTAATTAAATTTTCAATTAGCAATTATAAATCAAACTAATCCTTACAATTTTTAGATCTCTTAGTTAAATTTTTATTTAGCAGTTATAAATCAAACTAATCCTTACAACTTTTAGGTCCAAAACAGACAGCTCCACCAGTAGACTGAAAAATAACATAAACTCATAAATGATGGCAAAAATGTTAAATAGATTGTACTTCAAGGTGACCTAGTCAAAGAGGTACGCTTTTTATTGTTAGAAAAGCTCAAGGGGGAATTATTCATGATAAATTGAAGTATCTATGGAGGGAAACTAACTCGTTGCTGAAACTTATACTACATTTGCTTGCAATTTGTTAATTGTTAGCACTCCTAGTACTTGCAATATGTTAGCACTGCTAGATTGGCCAAGACCAAGTTCTATTGGTGATGGACTCCTAACTACCTCCATCAACAAAAATTATCAAGTAACTCTATTAAACATATGGGTAAAAATCACCTAACATCTTTTCTAATACGTGGAAATTAATTTTGTTTTCTGCATCCATTTACTCAGAGTAGGAATGCTCTCTTCCTTTAGATGAAGGAATAAAATTGTCTACCTCGTCCTCCAACTTGAGAATCAATGCGGTTCTGTCCTATGTACTTAAATCATCAAGAACAGGTTTTAAATCCCCCTTCCATGTTATCAAACACCTTGACTATTTACATATAGATTTTCCAGTGTTGAACGAAAAATCAGACATTCTTTTTTCGATAAGAGCAGACGCATTAGTCTTAGTCCCATCCACAACATATTTGCCCAGAGCAGTGATTCAGAACCAAAACCATAGATAAATTCTATCATTTTCCCTACCAATCTGCTACAGTAGTTTCAAACATTCATGTTTATATCCTTCAATTTTCGTAAGCTAATTCAAGACGTTTGGTTTCGTACACCCTGTATAAAAGTCACATGATAACGTACAAGCAATGATCCCACAGAAAGCCACAAGCTGAAGAAGTCTAGATATACAGAAAGTGGTCACAACTCACAACTCACAACTTGTTTAGTAGATAAGAGTATATGTTTCTTCTACCCAAAACTAAGCCCTTCTAAAGGACCATAGGGGGTGTTTTTTTTTTTTTTTTTTTTTTTTTTTTTTTTTGGGGTGGGGGGATACATAGAGACTTGGAAGGACAAAATTCAGATAGCTTCTATAGCTGACGAGGGTGTAATTCAACAAGAGCAAATATATGAGGCAGGCTCTCAAAGTTTCTTTCAAATGCATATCAAATCATTGATGCAGGTTGTTATGAACCAGCACGCTAGCCTTCCACACGGAGTAACCAAAAATAAAATTCCTATCTATTCCATCTTTAGTTAGATTTAAATCAAAGCAGCTTAAGTTGCCGAGAGCTACTACAAATTAGTTACTGCAAGGGTCAGAATCCTTCAAGGACATGTTATGGATTCCCTTTTGGTGGACTTGAAGCTCTATTTTCCGTATTGTCCGATGTTAATAGTTTCTTTTTATTATTCAAAAAGCTTCTCGCATAAAGGGTCCCAAAGACAATAACCTGAAAAAATTTAAATGAAATGTGAAAACTTTTTCTCCACAGAAAACAAAAACTGAAGTTTCAGCTTCCAAAGCCAAGAGAGAAAGAAGTTAATGCTTACAGCTCCTAGGCATTGCTCCCAGCTGAGGGGATGAGCAAACCACAAGCAAGACAGCAAAATGCTCACCAACTAAAATGAAATTCAGCACCAATATCAGTTAGGCACATGTCCACCAAGTGGTGAGTATCATTCCTTTTCAAACCCTCAAACTATTTCTTATTACCTGTCTTGTGGTCATTATGGTGGCAAAGGTTAGAGCACCAAATGTGCGGATTGTGTACGAGATAAAGAATTGACTAGCTGTTGCTACCTGCAAAAAGAAATCCAAACGGATAGTTACATTTTTAATGAAAGAAACGAGTTCTACACAATTTGGACAAGTACTTGTTAAGCAAGAACAGAGAATCTCTATTTAAACAAATCAGGATTTTCATATTTTAAAACAACTTACAGTCGAAAGCAGAGCAATGTCAAAGAAGCAATCATGATGGCGAGATACAAAATCAATTGCCATGAGAAGATTGCCCTGCATGATTAGACCTAAATGGAAAATAAAAAGCAAATTCTAGTCATATATAGTCCTCGGAAAATAAACCAGAAAAATGCCTTTAATACAAACTTGGGGCACCCTACATCACCTTATAAACATATAAAGCTATGTCATTCAACCACATACTGATCCTAAGAGAAAATGATAACTCACTAGAGCTGCAGCCATATCATTGGATCTTAAGTTCTTAACTAGCTCTCAAGAATTTCTTTCCTAGTGAATGCAGATGTTTGGCCAGAGTTTCATCCAGAATCATCTCTAACAGAAAGGTCAAATAATATGCAGTACACAGAAAGGATATTATTCAGAACATTGCGGAAAATTGATTGGTGCGTAGTGCTATGAATAGTCAAAGTCTCGGACCTAAACTGAAAAGCAATTCAAGGCCAAACACACTGAAGCTTGGAAAACTAAGTCTTCTTACTCATAAGCTGTTGTTTGAGATTTGCATTTGAGACAATTTATAGAATCAATTAAAAGGCTATCAACAAATATATAGAGCACAAGAACTGTGAGTCCTCCCAGCAAACCATGGAAATTATTGGAGATGGCAAGCTTAGCAAGAAGAAATGGAAAACAGCAGAATAGTTAACTTTAGAGAAGTATTCAACAGCTTGTCCGGTGTATTATCTTTTTAGAGACGTAGATTGAATTCCTTAATATTCACTCAAACAGAGACCTGTTTCTCAACTGCAATAAAAGAGATCTTACCAGTGAAACTAAGAAGACAAGAACAGACAGTTGTGTAGAATATCTGAGTGTGTATTTCCATCTCATAGCCTTTAAAAAGTTTATCCTGGAACGTGCTCGTAAATCCATCAAACCTGTGAGATCAAATGCTTATTAAAGCCTTGTTTCAGAAGCTAACAAATTAATATTCAATTTTAATAGGTGATAACCACATTGCTCCTTTTACTCATCTAAACAGGTGGAGATCTCAAGGGGCAAAAAAGACGCAACAACATATCCGTGTGAATGTTACAGGAGCTAATACTCAAATTCTCCCTGGTAAGCACATGTTCTCTTAGAACAAAGTGGTCATATAAGCAAAAACTAATGAAAGAGAAAATCGGATAGGGGCATATTTGCTTCTTAGGTTAAAATTTTGTATCTGCTAGTGGTGGTGAAGTTTTTGATATCTTTCCTTTGACTCAGGTATTATCTTAGTATTACTCTGCTATGGGCCAATTAAAAGAGCTAGTTGAGCAATAGCATTAGGCAAATGGAATTGTAAGAATTTATTGGGAGAGCAAAACAGATGGATTAAAATTTGAGAAATAGGTACATATGCCAAGTAACATAGATTTTGTACACCGTAAAGCTAACAAAATATGAGTTCTACGTATAACATGTTAATCATTCAAAAGGTTAGTACAAAGCACATTGTGATCTTCTTCCAACTTTGGATCAACATAGCAGTTTCCAAGCATAGAGCATTCGGAGTTCGATATCTAACAATAAATCATACAGAATAAGGTGAAAGACAGTATATCAAAGAAGGAAAAGAGAGAACATTATAGAAACGTTTAATGCTAAACAACATCATTAAAGTACAAGGTACGATATAGAAAGCTTGCAAATTAGTTTTTTAGATCTCTAGAACACATTCTCAAGAAAGTGTCAATTTTAAGCAAATCCAGCTGTTTAACTTAACATTTCATTAATATAACCACCAAAGTTTAAAATGTTGGATAATGTCAACTCATACCCAAGATAACCCATCATAAGAGAAACTCCCCAAATGGTGCTTTCCCTTCCTCTACTGTAAGGGCTAATATCACCTTCTGCCTAGAACCAAAAACAAACTGTAAAAAACTTTACCTCGAGGGTACAACTGCACAAGCTAATATACTGCAGATACTAGGCAACCCAAACACAAGTACAAGTACCAGAAACAATAATTCTGTTAGTAAGCCTGTATTAGATTGGAAAATCAGAAGTACATAATTCTGTTTGGTGCTAGTAAATTCTGTAAATAACTGACCTCAAAAGACAGTCCTCACAAGGTAAACAACATTAGCGTCACACAATTCTAGTTAATTCCAAAGATACGGAATCAGTAAAATATTCATTCTCGTGTTTCAGGTCAGCATGAAAGTTCCAGGGAATTGCAGTACAAGCTGCCTAAAAACGTTGATGTCTTCCCCCNCCATAACTCATAACAATCCTCACTATCCGTTTTGCTCCATCTGAAACCATATTTCCAATATTTAATGATTTAGATTGTCTTGTATTAGCAGTTCTTTATATTTTCTGCTGATATACGAATGTCTACCAAGATTAAAAGGACTCCTAGCAAAACTTGGACCTATTGGAAGCTTGCTTTCATGATTAGTCTTGATCCAAATAGTTGGTATCGCCTATATGGATCTTTTTCTCTCAGCGTATTCTATTCTCCCCTAAATCTATAGGGATTCCATGAGATTGTAGGTCTTTCTAGATAACTTCCTTTCCTGATGAATCATGGCTACTACAAGGTTAACAAAAGCACATGATTTTTGAAAGATCCACGGAAAATACGTTCTGAAAACAATTCCTGTTATAATTTGGTTTAATGGCAATTCGGAGAAACACAACACGTAATTGAAAAGAGGACACTAGTTATTACCGGATACAGAATAAATAACGAACAGCCAAGTGTGACTATGAATGCAAAGAAATAGTCCTGCCCTTTGTACTTCTTTTGCATGATGATAGTGCCCCATATCTGCATGAACACAAAAGGAAAAATGAAATGGGTATCAAATGGGAAGCATAACTCAATAGTGTAATTTGTATAAGCAGAACATTGTAGGAGAGACAAAGGAAAACTACGAGATGAAAAAAAGGATAAATTATACAGAAAAATAGGTTACTTTTAGAAGCTTCAGCGAATGAGGTGTTTCTTTATTGATATACTATGTGCTAAAATAACCAAAAGAAAACCTAGAAAATACCTTATAAGTTTACATAGAAAATACCTTATAAGTTTAGGGGTCGTTTGGTTGGAGGGATAAGGGATTATAATCTCGGAAAAAATTATAGGACTATAGTATCCCACGTTTGGTACCATTTCTGATTCCGGGTATAGCAATCCTGGGATTATTTATACCACAATCGTGGTATAATTCTTATACCACACTCTATGTGGGATAACAATCCTGGGATTAGTAATCCCTGGATTAAAAAATGACACATTTACCCTTCTCAAAAGCTTTTCTCCAAAATATTTAAGCAAGACAAGGTTAAAATTGGGAAAAAAAGTTTACCCCAATTTATCTAGTTTAAACCAACACATAAGTTGTGTATTATACCCTGTATATCTCATTTTTAGTCCAATGAACAAAACATCTACCAATAAAAGTGAAGGCCACTAAATAATACCCTCATTATTTAATCCTTGTATTATAATCCCGTCATTTATAATCACCAGATAAAACTTGTTCCCCAATCAACCGACCCCTTAGTTTTAGTGCTTCTACTAGTTATATTTTCATAAGGACAGACAAATTTCTAGGAAAAATTATTCCAAATGTGAAGCATTCAAAGTAGACGGATACGATTATCACGTGCGTGATGAATTTGAGGAACAAAACATCATAGCTAGAAGCCTCGAAACAGCAATGCCAACACTCGAACAGAAAATGTTTTAGAAACTGATTAGAAATATTCTACACCAGTCTCACACAGAGGAATTCTATGTACTTCCTTTTCCAGCAATTACAACAGTCTACAGCAAGTTAACTTACCATTACAGGTATCATTTTGGCACATTTTGCCAGGGTTTGAACTGGAAAGCTGACATATTTGAGAGCCTGCGCAAGAATTAATCAAAATTATCAGTATTTGTTAGTTGTTACTTGACAACTGCCAAAATTTCAACAACCTTTTTGTTCAAATCGTATTTGTGTTTGTTTTTCACAATCTTCTTTGTTTAAGGCTTAATATCTTTGTTCTCCTTTGTCTATTACTTCATGTAATCATAAGGAAGAAGAAAAAACTTGCCTCGTACTGACAAGTTGTTGTGAGGATGTTAGACACTGAAACAATACAATACTTATGGATTGGAGCTACTGGGTCCAATGCCTTCTTACTTGCCTGCAAATCAGAGAAGAACTGGAGGTAAATGCTTAGTGTAGTGTGTGGCAAAATTCCTAAGAATCACATCTAATACTGAAGACTTCATTCTCTGCCTCGTCAAGAGGCTCTCAGAAGTCAAGTGATTAGAATCATGTTAGGGTATATTTGCAGTACTAGATGAATAAGTCTTTTGAGCTTATAGCCTGGAAGTGTTCTATTACCAGTAAAACTCCAGCAGAGACTGCAGAGGTGCTAATCCGATTGCAAAAGACAAGAAATAATGAGTATATAAAGTAGTCCTTATTAGGGCCATAGGGAACTCTCATGATCTTTTCCTGCAGGTACAAGTTCCATCATCATGTCAAGGAAATAAAAAGTACACAATATCCAAAGTGAATGTAAATTGTGTTGCTTTATGAATATGGGACTAAAATAAAATCAAAGTGACCAATTGAACAGGGCATAGATTATTATATATTTTATGCCGTTTCTCTGAAATATGCAGCTAAAGAAAGAAAGTGCAAATGAAACCTTAAAAGAACATATGTTAAATAGAGAAGATCCCCATTCTTATTTTTAGTTACATCTTCAATTAAAGAATTTGGAAAGCAGGATAAAGATCAAGGAACTGGATGCTTCAGAGGTAATTGTCAACAGTTGCTTCTTACATAATCAAATCAGTCCTTTTTTTATTTTTTTTTTT